TCCAACGAAGCATGTCTCCATTGCCGCGATGCAGGTTCATGAACTGTTGGAAGCGGTGCAGGAATACATTGGCTGCGCCCTTCACGAGGAGCGGCCGCAGGAAACTCTTGAAGTACGTAACTCCATTGTTCGGGTCCTTCAGGCGATCTCTGTCAACAAGCCTTTTGTGAATCGCTGCTTCGCTTTCCAAACGGTAGCGCAAAGCCGGTCTCCGTTTCTCATTGCCCAACTCAGCGATAACACAGCAGTCATCGATCGCATCTTCATAGGCGAACCAACTGCTCCGCCCGTCAAAAGACGGCGGTACTGTGGTGGTCACCTGTTGAAAAGCTGAAAGTCGGTGTAATTCTTGAGAATGGCAGCTGTTCGTCGCATATGACTCATTACCTTGAAGGAGGTAATCATCATCTCCTTCGCCACGCTCATACGGCACAGCAGAGTGGCTAGCCATTGCGCTGTCCACGGATCGAGCCCCGGGAGTCTTCACTTGAAATGTGCCGGAGTGTACCAACGGGTACATCGGTACATCCACAAGTGAGAAGCTTCCCGTTTTCACGGGAGCTCCGCTACCACGTTGAGACGTAAGCTGGGCGTGTATCCGCTTGGCGTACAGGAACACAGGCAACGCCGGAGTCTCTTTGACAGGCGCACCGCTGTAGATCGTACTCCGCTCGAGCAACAGGCATGGGTACATGCAAATGATACGTGAAACAGACAGGCACCTGGCTGCGTAACATTCAGTGTTTGACCCTCCCCCCTATAATATCCCCTCCTTGGGTGGTCTTCTTGTTTGGCCTTGTCTCCCCCCGCCCGTTCTACATGGTTGCAGCTGTTTGTCGGTAGTAATGTCATCCTTATGGTGGTCGCTGCTATACTACCTTTTCTCCCTGTCCCTGCTCTGATGTGGTTCTCCCCTCCGTGCAAAAGCACTGGCTGTCACTGTCACGCGGTGGATCATTGCAGCAACACCGGTCGCCTCCCTCGTCCTCTCTCCCTGCTGCGTAGGTTACACGAGGATCGCGGTGGATGGGATCTCCGGAAGGCCTTCAACAAAAACAACAACCCTGCATGGCACAACTTTTTGCCTCGAAAACTCACTTTATCCCGCCAGTACTTGGGAGAAAAGACTTTTGTACCGCCACTAGTCGCGGGAAGGTATTTCGGCCGTGCTCTTGCAGAATCGTTGTGGCTATTCTCCTGAATCGTGCCAGTATTTGGTGTTCTGGCGGCCTCCTGGGGTCTCCTGATGGTTTCTTCGAGGTGTCCTGGTGGCCTTTTGGTGGTTTCCTGGTGGCATCCTCGTGGTCTCAGTGGTCGTCCTGGTCGTCGTGGAGGTTGTGGTTGTCCTAGTGATCCTGGGCATCACGGTCGTCGCGGTGCTTTCCCACTGCTTGGAGAACTGCCCTGGCATAATCTTGGGCCGTCACTCGTATGTACGCAGAAACCTCTACCAACCACGAAAAGCCAGGCTGCAGGGGGTAGTTCAAAGGATGCAGTCCGAAATGCAGCCGATGAGGTGCCACTGGACTGAGTGTCAGATCGACCCAACTGGCCTGGTGGTTAGGGTGTTGTCTTCGAGCTTTTCTAGGGCATAGATGCATTTGCACGGCTTCATGATGAAGTGTCTTGGGTGTAGAGTTTGGGGTAAAGACGGTACGGAGTTGTACTCATACCCATTTAGCAAAAGAAGCTGATCAATTCCTTCCTGGCCAATGTTCTACCACACGACTCTACCGATCACTTCTGACGTAAGTCCGAAAGGCACGAAGACTTGCAGCATCCAGCTACCTTGGCTACCTAGCCCGTTACGCAACTTTTCTGCAAGGGTGTATGCTTCATGTAATGCGAAAACCGCCGAGCCTGATCTCGGTCCTGGACGTTTAATGCTCTCTGCGAGTCGGATCAACTCAATCGACTGTGCAAACTCGTCTGGGTGTCGCTTCACGAAGCCCATCATGGTCTGGACAGTCATCTTTTCGGAGTTAGCCCTGCGTGGCCTTTGCGAAGACTTGTCACCTAAGTGCACGTGGGAAAAGGTTCACTATTTTGGTTGAGCCTGCCAAGGACCGTATTTCGGTGAAAGCCTGCACCGAGAGGCCATTGACCGCAGTGCTGTCATCTTCGAGAAGCCACAAGCTCGGCTGACTAATCCTGAGATGTTGCTGCTCTGAGAAAAATTAGTATAAGGAAAAAGAGGAGGAGATATTTCTAGTTAGGAGTCAGGAGGATGAAGAAAGGCTGAAGCATTAGGATGAGGGGTACCAGTTACTAGTCGCTGCAAAAGCAGCAGCAGCGCAGAACAAGAAGAACAGTGAGAGCCGCCCATCAACTTCGTCAAGAGAAGACGCCCTGCCCGGCTGCTTTCTCTTAAACCGGCGTTGCGCCAATCAAGGCTCAGAGTGGTCGCGATAGACCACCTAGAGAGACTATACTCCTGTGACAAAGCAGGTAATGAATTGCTACCCCCAGAGAGGACTTCGTGGGTCCAAAAGAAACGAAAACGATCCAGCTATACATGCCAATAGGCACCGAAACATTGCATCCACGGGTACCAATATCCGGAGGCATGTGAAAGGCCATTGTTCTTCGTACATACCACATCGTGCATGCATGCTGCCCGTGCCAGATAATAAACTTTCTGGCACTCCGAGTACACACACACATACATACACAGAGATATGCATACATACACATATCAGCTTTTATATACATATATAGACGCATAGATAGATAGTAACATGTATGTAGACACACACACACACATACGCTGGATTAAATGTATGGTTGCGTGCTGTGCATCCTGAGCTTCACCCCCCCCCCTTCTCCTCTCCCCCCCGATGGCTTCCCACCTGCTTCCGACCAAAAGGAGGTTCTCTTCCGTGTATAAGCATGTATGTCGGGAAATAGCATGTGATGCATGTGTGCACGCTTACGTACATACATACATACATACATACATGCATGCATGCATGCATGCATGCATACATACATACCTACATAGCCGTTTCAAGTATATACATGCCTGTGTATCTATATAAATATACATCTGCACAGGAATACTTCTGGAGCAGCTAAGACTCCTAGAGTCTTGGCTGATTGAGCGCTGCATCGTCGGAACATCGTTTATGGATCGTCGCGTGTTGGAAGTGCTTCTGGATCTCTTCCTTGTGCTCAGAGTTAGCGGTGTCTCTTGGGGGTGGGCCCACTGCTCTCAAAAATACGCCAAAACCTGCCACTACAGCAACATGGACCTCAAAAGCCGGTAAGCATCTTGGCTTTGAAGCAGATTATCTGACACACGAGTGTGTGGTGCGCTACGTGGGGGAGTACCGACTGAGGGACTGTGGCTAGTTCATACTGATGGGATCGGAACGCCAACAAAGTGCAACTTGGCCTCATTCAAAACTAACACCGAACGTGAGCGTCAGCTGAGGCCATGGGCAGTGCAGACAGAAATAAAACCGTGGTGGGCTAGCAGTGACCTGCTGTTCAAGCCTGTGCTAAGCGCTGTTGCGGAATTCGCCACCTGCTGATCTTACAACCCTGGCAAATGATGCATGTCCTGTCTTCACCAATTAGGCCGGCGACAAGATTCTGAGTCGTGCGGAACCAGAGCGGATGCGGTGATCCTTTTATTGGAGCATCCTACGTTTTGGGCCAAAGAAAAGTTCCAAGTGACTGGCTGTCTGGCGCCGTCTAACGCACTGCCTACTTACAAGCCCCAGGATTCCAACCTTGCCCTGCGATCTCGGGAGCCAAGCAAGATGTATCGACTGAACGCTTCCTGCGGTGTCATTGAAAGCTTGCTGTTGGTGATGAAGTGGACAGCCCTGAAGCATAGCTAGGATTGTACCAGAGTCCGCAGGTGCATGATTCTGGCAAATGTGTTACTGCTGATGTTGATGCTGATGACAACTTGAGTCGCCAGCCCGACCCGTCACTCGAATAAGCGAGTCGGCTAGCCAGACAGTTGCCACGTCCGGCCAAACCTTAAAATCCTCAAACCATGAGGTCATTGATGCACCACTGCCAGGAACAACCATGGACAAAAACAAAAGCAGCATCACCACAACTCCGAGCAACCACCATCTCAACGCCAGCAGCAGCAGCCACAAAGAGAGACACGAACGACACCACCGCCACACCACAGCAAGCGGCATGAGCACAACAACAAGAAGTAACACCAGCAGCAGCGGCAACCGCCAGCACCAGCACCAGCACCAGCACTAGCACCAGCACCCCCACCCCCACCACCCCCACCACCAGCAGCAGCAGCACACGAGGACAAGAACAAGAACAAGAACAGCAACAGCAACAGCGACAGTAACAGCTACAACAGCAACGGCAGCAGCAGCAGCAGCAGCAGCAGCACCGGCACCGGCACCGGCACCGGCACCGGCACCGGCACCGGCACCAGCACCAGCACCAGTACCTGTACCACGACGACGACTCCTACTACCAGCATCGTGGTGATGATGCTGGTGACTGCAGTT